GTCCGAGGTTACTTGAAGAAATTCCTGATTATGAGACTGGGATTCCTACTGCTTCTCCACCAACTTGTCTCCACCTGACTGGTAAGCACAGAGCTGCTTTGAAGAAGCGCAGTACAACGTCAGGGCTAACCAGTGAGGGATGCTTTGGACAGCTGACTGGGTTTCCAGATGAAGGCTTTTCTAGCTTTTAAGTAAAAGTTAAAAAGAGGCTGCCAGGAAAAAAATGCTAAGACAGAAAGAAAAGAAAGAAAGTAAGGCAGAGAAAGAGAAATTTAAAAACGCTCACCACACTTCCCAAATGTGTGAATTAAACACTTTCATTAAATTAAAGAGATTGAAGGAAATAGCTGAGTGAGTGAACCACGTGACAGAAATAAAAGCCACCAACAATGTTGCAAGCCAGATTCCAAACTTCCGGGTCCCACTTGAAAGCTGCAAAACTGCAAGTGACCAGGAGTAGTGGTCACTTTACCTCTTGGGATTAAGGGGAAGGAGGTTATGTCACGTTACTATCCGCAATCAGGCCTCTGACCGAGGGCTGGGCCAGTGAGGCTCAGAGAACAAACGGGGCTCTGGCCTTGTGGAACCCCAGGATGTCTTCAGCGCCTCTGCTCAAACCCATTTCACTTGCCAGTGAAGCAGTGCAGGGTTAAGTACAGGGCCCAGAGCCCCCAGCGTCAGTGCACTGGTATGTCGGCTTTCTGCTTCAGGAAGGTTCTGTGTTCAGTATTTCAATCCCATCCTCCAGCTGACCGCCCTAGAAGTCAGAGATAGTTAGGAGAGCCGGAGCTGGCCAATTTTCTCAACTCCTGTCAGACAGTGAGAAGGGCTGGGTCTGGCCCTGGGCTGGGGGCAGCTCAACTAAGATGGAGACTGGAGATGGGCCAGGGGTCCCGGAAGTGGTGCCTCCCTGAAGAGACAACTTCTATCCTCTGACTTGTCAAAGCCCACAACTACTCTCCCGACCCAGGTGAACAGAGCTCTGGCTCAAGTACTGAAATGATGTAACAAGGCACAGATCTCTGCCTGTATATTTGCTATTGGCTGGGCGTGGTAGACAAGGCAGCCCTCGTGGGATAGGAAGCTAAGCCCCGTCCTCTCTGCAGGGAGGACTGTCAGCCCAGGGAGGCAACCACCGCAGCTTGCTCAATGACACCCTGGCTCCAGCACAGGGCCTCACACGTTCTGCAGAGCTAACAAGACTGAAGAAGCAGAGAGATGAAGATGGTGGCAACCCAAGCAGCCAGGGCAGCCGCGGGCATCTCACACCAGTGCTCACACTGGGAATCATGTTCACAGTCACTTGTTACAAATTAATCATAACCTATTTTCTTAAACTCCTAGGAAAGCTTAACAGGTCATATCTGACCTCTGCATTCCATAACCAGGCTGTTGATGAGAACAGCCAAGTGGCTCTAAGATGTTTTCAACAGCTAAATGGATGCACAGATCATAGATGGAGATTATTGATAGACACGAGATGGTGATGACAATAACAGATAAAGAGGTAATAACGATGGTAGATAATGAGGCAATAATGATGGGATATGATGGATGGGGTGGGTAGACAAATAAGAGACATGATAATGATATAGTTGACAGAGGGCAGGCAGGCAGGTAGAGATAGACAGGCAAGTAGGCAGATTATAAGCGAGCAGGTGAGGTGGGACCATGTGAGCTAGGTGAGTGTCTGCGCTTTCCCATCAAGAACAAGTCCTCGCCTTGGCAAACCCAGCAGTGCTCTCCAGCCCACCCTACCTCACTACCGAATCACACGGTCTCTCGATGGTTTGCAAAGCTGCAGGCCTCATCAGCTTTTCGGGTCATCTCACCTACTGGGGTGGGATGTCTCACTAGGAGGAAATAAGCTCATGGAACTTCATCATTTATTACTTCCACAAGCATCCTACATGCCCAGGCCTCGTGTGCTTTTCTAAACCTTGTACCTACCAGAAAGAAGAAAAAGGGGAATAGAAAGCCAGGGGTTACATCTTTACCTTTCAACAGCAAGCGTATAACTGGTCAGCTTTCCCTCGAAAGGGTTTGTCTCTTGGTCTCTGGAACCCAGGCTGCCAACAAGGACAGGTCACATCTGCAGCTGCGGAGCTAATGTGATCATAGAGCAACGACCAGGTGGACACAGCCAGTGGTGATGGCGCGCACACGAGGCGGGACTGCTAAACAGTCCCCACTTGAAATATGCACTTCTCTTTCTTGCTATTTTGAACCAAACAGCTTCTGAGAAACACAGATGCTGCCCAAATCTCTGCAAGCAGCTCTGGGACTTTCTCCTGGGACGCTCTTTCCAGGGCCGGTGGGGTCTGTCTTATGCTAGAGGCTCCACAATGGTCCTGCAGTACGGTTTTCAGAGGCTTTTTCACCAGCAGCATGTGGCTGGTCCTCTCCCATTTTGTCATGTGTCTGGATCAGAAGCTGACATATTCATCTCAGGACACACTGATCTAAATAAATAAACCATAAACATTGCCCTTCGTTCTTCTCTCGTGTCCACGGTGGCTCATTCGCCCCTTTTCTGATACCCTGCACGTAAAGTAAACACCACAGGCAGACCTGTGACTTAGGAATTTAAATCATTAAGAAAAATGTTATCATCTTGGTACAATGCACTAGGAATACAATGGCCAATAACACTCTGTCACCTGCGCGCCCTGTCGCATGACACTACACAGATCTGGTTCATCTATCTTTGGGGACCCTGGCACACTACCATAGTGTGTGGTAGCGTGACAGTAGAACGACTCGGGATGGAAAGGGATGGTTCCAAGTGCTGATGAGCCTACTGAGTATGCAGATTTGATTTATGGTAAATACCATCGCTTTTGTTTGTACCTCACAGGTCAGGTCCACCCTTCTGGCCTCTGTCAAATACGCCAACACAGGAAGTACCACTGGCTGGCTTGACCTACCCTTCAAGACCAAGGCCTGTCCATTCCGAGTTCAACTCTGAGGATGCCTGGGACTGAATGGACCACTTATTGACTCTGTGCCATTTTCTTCCAAGTCATTCCCTTACCTTGATGCACCCTCTCTGGAATCCAGGCCAGACAGACAGTTGTCTGGGACCCTCCCAACTCCACTCAAGTTTTACACCCAGAGTGACCGGAGACAGGCACTAGCAATCACTTTTGCCAGAAACTTCCTTCTCTCTAGTACATGGCCCTTTTGGGTAGTGTTTCGGACACCCCCTCTCAGCCTAAATTTGACATTTCCTAAGACCAGCTCTGCATCCACATCCACAGAACTTATCTACTTCTAGCAGACCGGACACAGGGAAAACAACTCTCATTTCCTATTTTCTGAAGATACAAAAGTGTTCAAATTTCTAAGATGGCCTCGAGAAGCAACACGCTCTGTCTTTGCTTCAATTACCTCATTCTCTTTAAACACGATGAAATTTGAACCATGCAGAGGGTCTGGTACTGAAGGAAGAGCATTAGCATAAATACTGGCTCAGTGGAACTTACACATTATTTTTTGCACTCACAGAACTGAAGCACTTGCCCCCCACCCACCCGCTTCTTCCTTTCTGCATGTATTTGCCAATCAATCAGCAGCAAAAACTACTTTTGTCATCAGAAACTATCCTGGCATGGATTTTGAATGTGGTCGCTGGCAACTATCGGAGAACTGATGGCGATAACTACTTCTGACCTAGGAAAAACTCCTTTAGTAAAGTAAAATAGCCCGCCCCTAAAGAAAGGTAGAGGCCACGGTCATGTGTTTGCTAACACAGCTGGCAGGTAACGGCAGAGCTCATGCTGTAACTGTGATCTACCACGTGAATGAGGCTTGCAGGCAGCTTCTGAGAAACCCATGCAGTTCACTGTGTTTTTGTCAGTTTTTGTGCTCCTAAGCTCTCACTCAAAACCAGGCCCCAGCACAGGCAGACAACATCCATGCAGCAGAGGTCCACTCCTGGCACAGAGCTGGGGCCAACTGAGGAGAGGCAATTCTCACATAGGGCTTTACGTCATACGGAGACAGAAACTCTTACACCTAACCCTGGCTGGATTTCTTTTTCAATCAAGCCTATCTGCAGGGATCTGCATCCTGTGTCAAGTTATACGGTCAGGGTTAACCAGCGGTCCTACTGCTTCACTTCATCTGCAGCAGCGCCAAGTGTCCTGCCCTCGCCCACAATCTCTTCTTTAGCTACAAATCTGTCATCTATGCAATCTATTTATCACTCAAGACACACACAATCGTACTGGCTGGTTTCCAGACATAGAGCCAAATTATATTTAGGTGGGCTACTGAGAAGGAAAGCAGCCCCCATCTCCTGCTACGTGAGAGTGTAGGCGAAGGGCCACGTCCAACCTGCATGAGACTCGAGGCAGGTCTGGCTGCTTCCTGAGCCTGTGGTTCTCACACCTCAGGTGCTATAAGCATCCCTCCCCTCACCCCCAGACTCTGGCCGCTTGTCCGTGTTGTTCTGCACCTGGACCAGGAGCCTGTTTCATCTCCCCAGATGGCGTGGCACCTTTGCTACCACACACCATCTACATCGGCTCCTGTCCTTGCACCTGGCATCCTCAGTCGCATTCTACGCGCCTGCTCCTCTTTCCCGCTTGAGTGGAAGCTCACCCACGGCTGGAACTGCCTGTGCCGCATTCTCTGTGTTAAATGCTCCCACATACATGACGCCTGTTTTGCCTTTCCACGCTGCTCCCTCTCTGACAGACATTCACCCTTTAGCTGGAAGTCCACACTCCACACACAATTATCTCCCATCTTCCCAAAGCAACTGATTCAACTCCAGTGTGACCCTAACTAACTCAGGCGGGGAAATATGTTCACTCGACTGACTCTTTCATGGGTAGAAACATCATTCTTCCATCTTTGCCTCTAGCTGTCAGCCCCAGGAGGTGGGAAAGGAGGTACTTGGTAAATGACAACGGAATGGATTCAGAAGTCTAGCACCTGGCCTTAGCATGCAGGTCCGATGAAACAAGCCAGCTGTGACTGGCTGCACACTTTACCTCTTTAAGAACCAGCACACACTTGCCGGGCCCCACCGACCGAGGCAGCTCTGCGATCCGGCCCTTGTTCAGGTATGGGCCCGAGAAACACCGGTGGTTGATGAACAGCTGCGGGCAGCAGTACTTCCCGTTGCCGGTTCCTGCAGGGAGACAGCGCGGGGTCACAGCCCTGGGACTTAGGGGCCCTACAAGACACAAGCTTGACAGGCTCAGTCATCACACCGCACCGAGGAGCCGGCCAGCATCTGCACTGACAGGCAGTACAGAGACAGAAGAGAAACAGGACTCCAGAAACCCGCAAGTGCGGTGAGGGCCAACGTTGTTAGAACTTGAAGTGGGAGCCCTCACGTGAGTTCAACGGTCAGAGAGCAGGGGACGGAGCAGATGATTCTGGAGAAAGGCACCTTATGTCTTAACATCGGAACACTTTAAACCCATCAGCGCATCTTAAGAATTGATTATTGTTTCTACATACTTTTTCACAAGCTTCTGTGTTGACTATACAGTGTTTGCAACCCACAAAAAGACACAAAGACCATGACAACCGCTCCCCAGCCATCACTACACACCTCAAGGAGAAGCATCGGTTACAGAGCTGAGGTCGCCTGGGTGCTCTTCCACAGCACGGTCTCCCCACCTTCTCTCTGGAGGGAACCACCACCCTGAGTCTGGGGCTCACCATTCCCACGCAAGTTCCTAAACTTTCCTGCACGCATATGTCATATGCGCACACCAGCGATTTGTATTTTATTTGGGATCTTTTAAAAATATTCTATAGATGGTTTTTCACAACATTTTGTTCATTTGCTTAAGTTTCTTAAGGCAAAAATATGAAACATCTGCCAACAAATGCTAGAACATTTATTCATTTTGCCCTTCTGTACATTACTATATGAAGATATTGCAGTTTAGTCATTTATTCTCTTTTAGATGCACAGTTATTGCTACTTCTTCAGAATGCCAGCCACATTTGAACAAACACAGCTGAGGAGATCTATTTCTCCATCTGAACAGGAGATTCTTACAACGACAAAGCAGGAGACCAACAGGGTCTGCAGGGCTTGAGCCTCACTAAATGTGATAATCCCTTCCGACAGCCCTGTCGGCCTTGTATTAGAATCCCTGATGTCCCACATCCAAGCAAAAGCATACATCATCAGCCTTCACTGTGCTGCCATCTGACAAGTGAAATGCACCTCACAATGGTTTACCTCTGCATTATCCTTATTACTCTTTCAGTTTAGTTTAGATGGCACATTGTTGGTTATACTCTATCTCAAGATGCCATGGACGAAATGTGGGATGATTAAATGACAATAATTGATGGATGTTTATAAACAGTGACGTTTCACTTTCGGCTTAGGTAATCATTCCACTCCACTAGCCCACCCAGCTCCTGCCCCAAGCTAAGCTACACTAATAGTGGTATCTCTGCATAAATGCTGCTACTGATTTAGGATGGTAATTTAACAATCTAGGGAAACCTTTTTTCATAAAGACATTAACCAAAAAACCAACATGTAGGAAGCAGAAATGTCATCGTTGTGGATATAAGAAAGAGAGAATACAATTACCATTACAGGCTCTGAAAGGACAGCTGACATAGATTTTGTAAAACCATTCTAAAGTTTGAATTCTATACAATAGGCAAAATAATTAAATTCACAGCTGCCTGTACTTATACATTTTTTGGTAGGATTATCCTGCCAAGACCTTTAGGAAAAAAATCATTTTAGTTAAGTCTACTCATAAAATTGCCCTCTTCACTACAAAGATAGCTTCATCTAATAGGATTCTTCCACGGCACACAGCTTTTAATCCTGGAATTTACAGTTTCATTTTGGCTTAGAATTTTTAATCAAGTATTACTTAATGTACAAACACGTGTAGTGTCGGATTTGGTGGTCAAAGGGCAGCTCACAATTGTATTTTCAGAAGTTATTATGAGAATAAGATTTTTAAACCTTGGGAAAAGTATTATTTACAACTAGCTATTTCAACTCAGAGGGTTTTAAGGGAGATTCAAAAGCCAGTGTGGATGTAAGTAATAATCACCAGGGTAAAAATGAAAGTAGAACTGAGATAAAAAAATATATATAAATATATATATATAAAATATATATAAATATATATATAAAGAATGCTTGATGATGATATTTCCAAGTTTTTTCTGTCCTGCACTGTGACCCATGGTACACAGTGCTAAAATGTGAAATTTCCAACTGGCACATGGATCCTTTTCCTGCAGTTTAGGAGACCTGTCCAGAGCTACTGTCCAAGACGCAGAAAAGGTATAGAGACTTCAGCTCTCAAAGATTAAAACAAACAAACAAAAGGCCAGATAGGTGTCTGCTAATAAGCAGTAACAGAAAAACAGAATGGACTTGCAGCTGAGACAGGCTCCTAGTGACCCCCAAATCTGTGCAGGTCGTCACCCACAGCAATGAACTGCAAAGGGACAGAGCCCCCCACGGAGCCCCCTTACCTGTCACGTCCAGGTGGGGGAAGAGGCAAAGGTCATGAGGTATTTTCTCAACAGGTACTGTGGACGGCAGTCTGTGGATAAAGAAAAGAAACCACCATGGGTCACAAGCTTGAGAAGAAACGAGTCCACTCCTCCTAATTTGGAGTGACTACTCCAGAAATCTAGGAGCACCATGAGGCACAATGTGGGTATGGCAGCAGAACAGCCAGCCCGGACACAAGGACCCTTTCAGAAAGGTGTTCTCAGATCCTTCTGAGAACCTTAAAAAGCCTGCGGCACAAAGGCCAAGAAGCCACCAGAGATCCATGAGGTTTTTCTCCACTGCGGAACAGCGGGGGCTAGAACCTGGGGGTGCTTGACCACTGAGCTACATCCCCAGCCCCTTTTATTTTTTGAGACAGTGTCTCACTGAGTTGCATAGGCTGGCCTTGGACTTGGAATTCCCTGACTCAGCTTCCCAAGTAGATAGAATTACATGTGTGCTACTGCTTAATGGGTTTCTGCTTAATGGTTACTGCTCAGCTTGGGCTACTGCTACAGAATTGTGATAATGTCCTCAATTCTACTTTAAACATAAGACAACATTAACTTCCATTTAATTAATGTCAGACTTCTCCACTGCAGTGTCTAACTGAAAATCACTTTCCGCTAACCTGGGAATTCTGACCTCCGTGCCTCTGAATGCTGTGAGCACACTAGAAAGACCTTCAGAAAAACCTACTAACTGATGATTCTTAAAATGTGAAGTGCACGTACTCTAACCGAGCTCTGTTACAGTTCAGCTTAAAGAGCTGCTGAATAATTCTTTTCTTAAAATGTAGCCTTTGGGGGAAAAAGGTGAGTTGCATTCCACAGGGTCCCCAGGCTAGCTGCACGGAAAGGACACAGTTGAAAAGCCGCCTAAGTTTAAAGGACATCCTTGGGTTCAGAAGGCTCATCTAGTGTAGTGGTTCTCAAAGTGTGATCCCCAAAGGCGCAGTGCTGGCATCAGTCAGGAACTTGCTAGCAATGCAGGTTCTCAGGCCACACGCCAGGCCTCCTGGAGCAGAAGGACTGGGGCTGGGGCCTGCAGTCGGTGTTGGCATATGCTCTCTGTGTGACTGACAGAAGCAAAGGGTTAGAACCATCGAGCCATGGACTGCGCATAGGACCCGGCTGCTGGTCTATTATTCATGTTCCGTACTTGGTGTTACATAGAGAAGGCAGAGTCAGGCTAGGAACCTGATGCACTGCATTTAGAAATCAATGCACAAAAATACCCACAAAACTGTTATTCTCATTCCAATAACAATGCAGTTGTTGTTCAAGTCATTGGAACACGATAAATGTTTGTTTCCATTTAACTTTCTATCCACATATTTTTTATTTACTCAGGAAAACAATCACTTGGTATGCATGTGGATTCCAGGGTATTTTAAATTCTTCGTGCTACATAAAAGAGTTACACTAGCAGTTGTAACTTTCCAAAAACATACTGCCCACAGTAGCACACTTTACCCTAAATCCTCTTTTCTCATTAAATGCCTACTGAAATGGGGGGCAAGCTGTATTTATTCAACAATCCAAAGACTATGTTCTTTTTTTTTCACCTGGAATCTAGTTTAATCTTCATAAACCCTTGAGAAATAGTTATTTTGTAATCAGGCCATCGAGATGCAGAAAACTGAAGCAACTTGCTTAGATTCACCCGCTGGGAAGTGGCAGAGCTGGGATGAGGCGGAAGCCTTTGCTTCTAGGCGAGGCCATGGCGCAGGGGTGGGAAGCAGCTCTAAACATTAGGAACAAGGCCAAGGCCCCTGAACCACACTTGTCACACAGGGCCGCTGGGGGCACCGAGCCCCTAGCACGGACACCACTTCCAGGAGAGTGAGTTGGGGTATCCTTCAAGTCTGAGATGAAATGAAACGTGAGAAATGACCATGTGGATTGTAGGTCCTTTAGGGAGCAGGCACAGGATTTTTGCACATAGCAGGTGCAGTAAATAACAGTAGCGACACTTTCTTCTCACCGGTATTAGCATGCTATTCATTAGCTAACTCTGGCACAACACTACAAAAACATGTTACAGTTTATCACCACACAGTTTGGGAGAAAACAAAAATCAACATACTGCTTTTCTGGCTGTACCACTGCAATCTTCCTCTTCTTTTGCGCTGTAAAACAGGCAAAGAGGGAAAAACATGTTGTTAGTATGCAAATGCTTTTCTAGAGGGGTGGTAGAGGGGATGGAACCCAGGGTATGTGCACTGAGCTACGCCCCCAGCCATTTTTAGTTTTGATTCTGAAAGAGGGCCTCTCTAAGTCACAACGTTGCCCGGGCTGGGCTCAAACTGGTGATCCTCCTGCCTCACCTCCGAGAGTGCTGCGAAGACAGTCACATACCACCAGCTGGTAAATGCATTTTAAAAAATGGCTTAGTATTTTTAAAAATGCCAATTTTACACTTGATCTTAGCCAAAAGGCTGAGAAGCAATAAAAATGCCAACTTTAAAGTAACAATGTAAACACTTAAAAAGTTATCTCAGACAAACTATAATTTCACACCAATTCTTCTAACATAAAACAGATAAAGATTCATCAGAAATAAGATTTTTTTTTTTTTCTTTTTGGTACCAGGAATCAAACTCAGGACCTTGAACTTGCCAGGCAGGTGCTGTGCTGCTGAGCTATATCCTCGGCCCAGAAATAAGATCTTAATAGAACTTAGTACATTTAATCTTATCATTATAGTGCCTACTTTATTTTAAAATGTGTTTTTAATAAGAAAGAAAAACAGCACATATATTGTACCTTACATAAATGCAAGTTAAGATAAGCTGTTATAAGCACAATGGTCTAGTCATTTTCTCCACAGAAACTGTGATAAGACAAATAATGCTACAATAGTCATACACCCCCAAATTAGCCTGAAGTATGCATTTATGGTAAAACACTGAATTACTGGAAGGAGAACTGGAAGCTGTCCAGATAGACTGGCCAAATACTGACATAAACCAGCAAACAATGATATTTTCTTGAATAAGAAAGTTGTCAGTTTATAGCTCTAATTGATTACTATCACCTTAACAAAGAGCCCAGAGCTTTTGAAACCAATTGGCTCAGATAATCTAGTTTCTTCCTATATAAGCACATAAATTAATTCCCACCCAAACTTCTAAAGCTGTTAGCGTCTGGCAGGAGACGGTCAGCGTTTGTCTTCTGAAAGCAAAATGTACAAACAAGAAAGGAGTGTGCAAGAATCAGTAAGAGAAACACTCAATAAAATTCCACCTGCTCCTGACTTTATTTGGTTTTCAATTCCAGTTGTTACTATAAAATCTATAAACTTTTATGAACTCTAGAGGTGCAAAAAGAGGGAAGAAGCCCTTGTCTGACTCAGGCCAATGCACAGGGTAGAGGGGCCGGACCGTATGGCACCTTGGCAGGGAGCCAAGCAGAACAGGCCCAGAAGCAAAGCGCAGAATCAGGAGGAAACAAAGCCATGCTCACTTCTGCAACGCGCGGCTGCGCTCCGGAAGCACAGAAAACGTGTAGCCTCCCATCTCCATGTGAGGGAGGCAGGAAAGGGATACAGGATACTAGGTCCTACTTGATGGACAAGGAAAGGGCAACTAAGCTCCCCCAGTCCCGCGGCCGCTCCCAGGAAGATAGTACTCAAGGTGTCTGGAGCAGCTGAAGTCACATCTTCTCCGCGCTTTCAAATGTTTCTAAAACTGTGAGTGGAGAATGATTACCTTAATCTTGAAGACACCCTCTTTTGTCCCCATTTAAATGAGCAGATGCTTAACCTGCTCACCCAGCACAGCCAACAGTGAACTACAAACATCATAACCCAGACTGCCCGCTATGAATGCTGAGCGGAGGGACCCTTCAAAATCTGCGGCCATGAGCGCACGTGATGCTGAGGCTGGGACAGAACTATTTCCAGCAGTGTCTTGAGAATGCAGAGAAGCGCACCGCAGCAGGGGGAGAAGTAAAACTGGCAGAGAAATTCCACGAACAAAATATCAGGAATATAATCCCTTCACTACGAAGTTGAAACCCATTGTCTTTAAAAACTCCTAAATTTTTAAATGATACCTCGGCTACACATTAGCGTGGAATAATAAATGCAAAGACTTTTTAGGTTTGATGATTTGTAAGCAGGACCGTTTGGTGGCAGTGACCGCGACGACATATGTTGAAGTCACTGCTGGATGTGTTTAAATGTGGGTGAGCGTGAGTGTGTGCCTGACTGGAGCGTCAAAGCACTAATATTGGTTTTATTTGTTTCCTGTGGTCAGAAGGACGTGAGTAAACACCCTTTTTATTTTTTCTTTTTCCGGTACCGGGAACCAAACTCACGACCTTGCGCTTGCCAGGCAGGCGCTGTGCCGCTGAGCTAAATCCCCAGCCCCAACACCCTTTTTAAAGTACAGTTGAAATCTCACTGGTTAGGCAGTGCTAAGAGGATGTACAGTACTGTACTTGTAAATATGTGATTGGAATCAAGTATGATTCTCTTAGGGGAAAATGCATGACAAGGTTAGTTCTTCCTAAGAAACGTTAATATAAAAGATATAGCATCTAATTAAAATTTTTCCAATCAAAATAATGGGTTTCATTCAAAAGTAGGCAGGGAAATTTCTGGTCTTTTTCTCCTCTGCATTTCACTGTGAACATCAGTTGCCTCCTTATTCATCCTGTCAAATTCATCCAAATATTCATCTTACGCAGATTATTAAAGGACAGTTCAGACATCAAAAATATTGGGACATCTATAACATTTACTTTTTACATCTGTATTTTTTAAAAATAAAATTGTTTATTCACCAGGATCACAAATGTTATCGTTCCCTGGCAAAACTTACAGACTGTTTTGTGTGGTGTAGTCAAGGGGTAAGAATTTGCTTCACACCAGCCCACCGGGAAGATGTCCATGGATTCCACATCAACAATGACCTCGGGAACAGGAGTCTGCAGACCTGTGTCAGAAGAAACCAAGACAATAGTTATGAACAAAGAAACAGGAAGAAAAAAAAAGCATCGCTAAGATAGACAAGTATTTTCTTTTAAATGTTAAAAAAGGACAGTCATAATATGGAAGACATTACTAAGCAGTCTACAGTCTTCTGACAGAGACAAATACCTGCATTATAAAACAGTAAGAATATAGGGAGTTTTAAATGAAGTGGAGGTGTAGGAAAAAAGAAATACTTGCCCTTGACAGTGGGGGAAAAGGGGTCTAGGGAAGATTGGACTGGAGCCAGACATGCGGGAGAGGGAGGGTGCGTCTGCCTTCCCTAAGGGGACCCGTGAGACTGGGGAATGCGCAGCACTTGGACTGAGGGCCAGGGGTTCACATGCCGGCAGCCACCGAGACATGATTCACCCAGCTCCAAGCAAAGAGTAACCTTCAACTTAGTCAAAATTCTCTTTAAAATTAAAAAAAGCTTTACAGCTACAAGCAACAACTAAACATGGTACCGCTGATGAGAAGCAGAATAGAGACAAGCAACTTCTCCAGGGAATTTGGTAACTCAGCTTCACGGAGCTGCTCGTTTTGAACTGTCTGTGGTCTGCTCTGGTGACGTCACATAGAAGTCATGCCCGTGGGGTCTGCCTGGCCCACCACATCCTGCTCCGTAACTGCAATCGTGACACACTAACATCACAGCTGAGAGACTCTGAGGACGACTAGAAATCTGCATACAACGAACAGCAAAAGCTTCAAGGAGCGCTGCTTATGGAAAAGACCAATTTGGAACCCAGCCCACTAGTTCCAAGAAGAAAAGTCTATATTAGATCAATAGTTCTTCAGAAAAAACCCTGAGGGAAGGACTCAAGCTAAGGATCTAAACAAACCGCTATGAAGAGTGACTCTTGGACACTGATGCTCAATCTAAGACCCTTTAGTTTCCTCACTGAGGACCAAGATGAAAACCCCACAGGGAGCCCAGCAGACAGCCCCGCCCCTGCAAGACAGCTCGTGAATGCTGAATCGGATCTTCACCCTCCTCCAAAAGCCTAACTTTAGGAAGCTAAAGACCAACAACCAAAGGCAAAGTGGATCTAACCCCAACGCTAGGCCCACGTCTCCCTACTTCTCATCCTAAAGCAGCTATCATGAGAACCGGATACTTTATTTCATGAAAGATCCTAACTTAGTGTTAAGATAAAACTGTGTATTAGTGAATATGAAGTGCCCTGAACACTGTGACAGCAGCTCTCTTTATATCCATATCATCATCATCATCATCGGTCATTTTGAACTTTTCAGTGCTTCTCAAGAAATGAACTGTCAAGGTTGTCGATCTTAACTTTCCGTATGCTTAGGTCTGCAGTCTGGAAGCTGTACTAAAAGTTAAAGAAATCAGGAATGTTTCTAGAGCCTCTCTTTCAAAAAAAGTGACTGAACGGAAACCGTGCCTGGCTAATATTGTGTAATTCAACCAATATTTAACCTAACGGCCAAAATAATCACTGAATAAACAGCAAACAATGTCTCAAAACAGAAAAAAGTAAAGAGACTCTCCCAGTAGCTTCAAATGCAGAAGTGACTTTCCCATCCTAACCCACCCACAACTCTCCGAGGTTTCAACACAAAGGGCCACTGGGCTGTTTCCCCGTACACAAGGTCATTTTCCCCTCCTCAGACTCCTAACAACAGTCTGTTTTATGGCTACTTAACAATTTTACAAACAGGTCAAATTCACCCTCCAGAAAAATGTATACTTCCAGATTTATGCTTAGCTACAAATAAGATTTGCAAGGTCATTATACACAGTACTTCAAAAAGAAGCATAAACTGAACTTTATAGCTTCAAGTTCCTTACTAAATTATGACTTGATCTTCCAAAGTTCTGCTGGTTCAAACATCACATCACATTAAAGCTTCTGTACAGTGTATATACATTAACATGGCACTCTGGCTATCTTTACCACATTTTAAAATTCTTTGATCATGCCTTCCAGTCAATTAATCAAAATTTATGAGCTACGAGGTATCAGCCACCTGTCCTTAAGAAAGTTATAATCCTGCCTTCCTTCACCCCAAATCTAGCTTCCAAAGGCCTCTGTTAAATAAGGACAGATGAAGAAAATAGGTTATTTATCACTCAGAAAGGTTTACACAACCCTAAACATCTCAAATCCCATTCTGGATGATGGACACAAACTCGTTATCTCCTTTTATCATCCCTATGAATCCAGATACATCTGGTTAGCGTCAGAATAATCTCTTAAAGGAAACCTGCTCCTTTCTAAGACTGAGGTCCCAATATCTTAAAAATAATCCATAAAAATGCACACAATCCTCTTCCTTGCTTCTTCTAGGATGACCAAAAAGTATATATGCAAAGCTGGATACCTGACTAAAGACCAACACACTCTTCTTTTTCATTTTATGGAAAAATCCTTATGCAACAACACTAGAGTATACGGAATTTCTGTCTGTCTAAACTGCCTCGTATTGGTATAGATTCTACTTGTTCAGTCTCACTCAGAAACCTCATCTCAAAATCTATGAGGAAGGCACTATCTCCATCCACGGGCAAGTACTTAAATGAAGCAAGTACTTAAATGAAGGCACCATCTCCATCCATGGGGAAGTACTCAAATGCTGAAATATTCTGTAGCTATAAAAAAGAATGACAAAGGTCTCCACATACTTAAAGACCTCCAAGATGTACTGTGGGGTAAGAACAGGCAAGGCATGCAGAGGAGGCTATGATTTATTTAAAAGGGGGAATAATGTTTATCGTGCATATAACAAATCTGGAAGAAGATGCAAACTACTAGCACAGTGGGGGTCTGCTGAGAAAGCTCAAGGTGGCCAGAGGGCGGGGACCCGAGGGAGGGAGGGAGAAGCTAATCAAAGGCACTTCTACAGCTTTTGCGCTTTTGGGAATGAATTACTGTTTTGCAAACACATTCTTAGCTATCCCCAGAAATAGTAAGAGCGCAACAGAAGAGATTCAGAAAAGGAAGTGTCTCATATACAATAGGCTGTTTCTACTGAAGCCAGATTAATGAAAGGTAAGTAACCATAAAAGAAAATAAAATGTAACTGAATCATTTCACTGTTAGTGAAAGTTTCTGTTCTCAAAAAATAAATGATGTCTTTAATTCTGGGAAAATACCCAGAAGAGGAATAGCTGGGTTAAATGGGACTTCCAATCCTAGTTTTGTGAGGAATCTCCAAATTGATTTCCACAGTGGTTTCACCAATCTACACTCCCCCCAGCAGTGGAGTAGGGTTCCTTTCTCCCCACAGCCTCTTCAGCAACTGTACTGCTGACGTCTGATGGTGTATTGAAATGAACAGTTAATGATTACAATTTTTTACGTTCTGATCGATTGTGCATGCTTGTGTCTGGTGGGCTGAGCAACTGATCTGAAGGTAACAATACGCAATGGAATTACAGTGGTGAACTCCTACCATCTTGTCTAGTGAAACTCTGTATTATCTCTACTGTTTTATCAAAGAATTATTTTCTTACTCCTTATAATGGTTTGAGCAATCTTTCATTCTTACATCTGGTAATCTGAGCAATGCAGTTGAGGATAGTGATATGTAAAGTAACAACCACTGCTGATTTGTATCATTTTGTTTTGAGACTCTGTATCACTCTGAATGCTCTTGCTTTGATTTGTTTATGTTTGTGATACTGGTATGCTACTAGTGTTCTATTTCTTTGTTTCTCATTTACTACTCTCTTTAAAATAATAAATAAATAAATAAATAAATAAATGTACATGCATACACACTTGTAGCACACTGGCACCTTATAACATTTTTGCAATTTTCCACTCCTGAGAACTTGGTCCTTGCCTCAGTTAATTACAAAGTTCTATTTTCTTTTGAATTTGAGGGAACTTTGTATCCAGCTCAATCCAACCAACGTGACAGGTCAGTGAAATCCAGATGATGCACCTGTTCTACTCAGAACATCAGGGTGAAAACAGAAAATGGCTTGCGAGGAAACTTTCGAGTTTTCCTCCAAACACATTCCTATCAAATTCCTAAAGTTATGTAGTTACTTCTCGTCCAGCAAATCAGAGAAGAGAGGGCAAACATGAGTGAAATTGAGAGTAGAAAAGGTATGGGGTACCACAGGTGAGATGGATATGAGACAGTAAGACGGAGACAACCAGGAGGAAGGTGAACGATTTTCATTTACCTCAGTAATGGAACCAGAAGTACCTCTGCATCTCAGTTAAAAGCCAGGATGGGAAGAAAGGTAAGAAGGGTGTAAGGGAACAAGTTCACCTTGTTAAATATCCTCACGGAAAGTTGAAAGGCATAAGAAGTGTTGACAAGCTCAAGTGTGAGATGAAAAGGGAAAACAGAAAAATGAAGTAAATCCGACTATCCAAGAACAAGCAAGAACCGGGACCGGTCACCCTGCACAGTCCCCTCCCTATGTGCCCCTTGTGCTGATGCCAGCCTGTAAGGCAGTGCCCAGGACACTCCTAAGGAACGGAAGAGCTGGGCAAAACTGTGGCTGGCAAGACCGCAGTGTCGCTCTGAACGAAGGCCACGGAAATGGGATTAACAGGGAGTGTGGGGAACACGACGAGTGTGGAAACCTGTACGATAGCAAAAGCTCACAGCACTTACCGTCGGCCAGACACTTTTCCTCATGTTTAATCCTTGTAACAACCCTAAAAAACAGACTGTTTCCATTCCTGTTTTAGAGTTGAGTAAACCAAGGTACAGGGACGAGATAAAAAAGCCAGTAAGTGGAAGATGTAGGACTTGAACTGGGTGACAAGGATCTGGACTCTTGCACAGCATCCGAGGTGGGCAGATTCACATCCTATCCTCCTTCTTTTATGGGGGGAATGGCCTATACAGCATCTGTCTCCACCCTGTAAGAGCCCCCTATTCTACCTGCAGAATTCTCATTATGAGGTTACTGCTTCGTCCTGAAGGAGCCAGGCTTTCTCTCCAGGTGTTCTGTTCTGCCTTTGGAGAACGTGG